CGGGCGGTGGCAGCCCCGGAGCCGGCCCCGGGCGCCCCAGCCACGCCGCAGGGTGATGCCTCCCTACGCCAGCCCCGGCAGGAATGTTTGCTGTCACCGCAGCCTGCGGCGAGGAAATATTTTCCAAGCAAAAAAAGGCCTCCCAGTGTATTTCGCGCTGACGGCTTCCAGCAGCCCTCTGTAGCCGTCTTGTTCTGCCGCCGCCGGGACACCTACCCGGAGGAAGAGAGGAGGCGAAGGTGGGAGAGCTTTAAAAAGCTCTGGTTAAGTTTGTTCCACCCTGGCCGTCCCCCTCTAGAGCGGGGCTTTAGAGGCTGCAAAACACCCGGCGGCTGCTCGGGGAGGGGGCAGATGGTTTCCCGTCTGCCTCGGATGCTCAAACCCCCCTGCCCAGCATCGCGTCCCGGGGGAGGAGAGGAGAAGCAGGGTCCCCTGCATCGCAAAGCGGGGCAGCTCCGGGGTCGTTAAGGGATGCCCTGGCTCCTTCCCAGGCTGGACTGCGAATGTAGGTCAAAGCCCTCTCCTCATTGAAATCCAGTGACGATGATGGTGTTACAGGTTGGGCTGAAATATGTACCTCCGGGTCTTTACTCTGGCACTGAAACAAAACGTACTCAGAAAACTGTGAAAAATAAACCCAGCTTGTGAATGCAGCTGATTGGAAGTTTTTCCAGCAGAAAGTGCTGTCCGACCCGTGTAAAATCATTCCCCGGACATGTGTTGATTTGGGCAATGTTTCCTCTGAAAAAAAAGATCAGAGTGAGGGGGGAGAAATGTTTGGAGAGAGCCGGAGCCACCGCCTGCAGCGGAGCTTTTCCATCCCTGCTGCAGAACGGCTCTCCCTTGGAAATGCACTTTATTTAGCAGCCTAAATGCAGTTTATTTAGCAGCCCGCTGCCTGGTACGTGCTGCTGTCGCAGGGGGGCAAAACAAGATCGTCCGCTGCAGACTTGGCTAAGACGCTGGTCCCTGGTGGGGATGCTCCTGCTGCCTCCACGCTTTTCCCCCAAGGACACAGGAATGCGAGTTTTACCGGGAGGGAAACGCTGGCTTAGTTTTGGGGGGGGAAAGGGTCTTGGCAGCATGCAGGAGCCAGCCCCTGGGAGAAAGCCTGTCTGGGACAAGCCGTGCCGGTGGGCATGACAGCTCGGTCAGCACGTCCCACCTGGGACGGGCAGCCTTGGCCTTGGGCTACCTTTTCCTAAAACACCCCATTTCCCACCGCCCTAGTTGCAGCCGTTTTCGGGGCCGAGAGCAGGTGCCAAACGCTTGTGCTCGAGTTGAGGTTGTTTTTTTTCCATCGGAAAGATTTTCTTTTGAGCAGAAAGAAAGGATTTACTGAGCCAGATGAACATTTGTTTGGCGAAAGTTAAGCCAATCATGCAGTCAAAGCTTTCTCGGATCCTAACAGCACAGGTTGAGATTAAATCTTTTGCCTGGAAATGAGTGGGGTGGAATTAAAACGTCGTGGCAGGTGGCAGCAACCCTTAGCTCTAGCGATGGGTGTCGCTGGCCCATGGCAGAGGCGGGTGCCCCTGGGACGGGGTGCCCATCCTGGACCGAAAACACCACTGTAATCTGGCTGTGCCGAGCTCAAGGCGGCGGGGGTACGGATGTCCTGGCAGCCCCGGGCTCGCCCCACCGGGGTGGCACCGACCCCTCGCCCCGGGGCAGGCTCTGCGTCCCGCTTGCACTCATCGCACAGAAATGGGCTTGTGTGCCCGCGGCCGACCCCAAGCAGATTTATTGGGTGATCCTGGGCTGCTATTAGTGGTCAAGGAACCACAGGCTCACAGACAGGGTCTGAGTCCCAGGCAAGCTCCTGTGTTTTTCTGGAGCAGAAATCTCCGCTCCGGCTGTTTTGCCGGCGGCTCTGCCAGGGACACCTCGTTCTCGTGGGCCGCCGGCTCCAGATGGGGCACCCGGGGAGACGGGGACCCCTGGGCGC